GTTTGGCTTTATCGATGGCTCGGTTGCAAAGCCGAGTGATTCTGCGAATTTGAGGATTGGGTGGCTGTACATTCTATGTTGGTGTCTTGGTTATCTAATACCTTGGATCCACTTGTCCGGTCGACTCTAGGTGATTATGATGATGCGAAGTTGCTCTGGGATAATCTTCGTAATCGATTTTGTGTTGTGAGTGGAACTCGGGTCTATCAATTGAAGACGGCCTTGACAGATTGCAAGCAAGGGAAAACAGAACTGATTTCTGTTTACTTTGGCAGGTTGTCAAAAATTTGGGATGAATTAACCACTTATGTTTCAGTGCCGGAGTGTAAGTGCGGGAAGTGCACATGTAACATTGTGCAGCAAGTTGAGAAATTGAGGCAAGATGATTTTATTCATCATTTTCTGATCGGCTTAGACTCTGCTTATGCGGCTTTAAGGGCTCAACTTCTAGCCCAAGATCCTTTGCCGATGGTAGACAAGGCATATCAACAGGCCATCCAGGCTGAGCGCTTGCGGGGAGGGGATGTGACTGCCCCTTCTGATAATCGAAGTAATGCGGTGGCCTTCAAGTTGCAAGGGCAAAAGCCTTGTGGTGAAAGTAGTGATAAATTTTGTGCTCACTGTAACAGGGAAGGTCACGATGAGTCGGGTTGCTTTCAACTCCACGGCTTTCCGGATTGGTGGGGTGATCGTCTATGTGGTGGGCGTGGACCATGTCGTGGTGGAGGCTCGGCTGGCCGCGGTGGAGGACGGACAGGGGGCAGGGGGGGTGGTGCGCCTCCTGCTCGAGCAAACAAGACTGGTGGGCAGCAGCTCTCGCAGCCTTCACAAGCTGCTGCCGCGAGTGCCTCAGACGGGGCAACTCTTGCTGGAATTTCATCGGCCCAAATTCAGCAGTTTCTCGATCACTTGAACTCCATTAAACCCAAGCTTCACGGTAAGCAAGATATGGGTTGGATTATTGACACCGGTGCCTCAAATCATGTGACTTGTGATGTTTCTTTATTGATGAATGCATCAAATGTGAGCCATTATCCGGTGGGATTGCCGGATGGAAATTATGCAAATGCTTCTAAATTGGGATCGGTGACATTGCAAGGAGGCTTAATCCTTAAAAATGTTCTTTATGTGCCTCAATTAAATTGCAATTTAATTTCAACGACTCAATTATGTGATGAATCAAATTGTGTAATGCAATTTACTAATAAACTTTGTATTATACAGGACCTAACGACGAGGATGGTGATTGGAGCGGGTGAACGAGTAGATGGACTTTACTATTTCCGGGGTGTTCCTATGGTGAAGACTTTGAAGATAAAGGTGGATGGGTCGACAAAGTTGTGGCATCAACGGTTAGGGCATCCTTCGGGAAAAGTACTTCAACAACTTCCGTTTGTGAGTCATAATCGTAGCAAATTTAATTCATGTGATGTATGCCCTAGGGCAAAACAACATAGGAGTAGTTTTCCTTTGAGTCAAAATAAAGCTAGTCGTATTTTCGAACTAGTCCATTTAGATTTATGGGGGCCTTACAAGACACCATCGTCTTGTGGTGCTCATTATTTCTTAACTATCGTAGATGATTTTTCTAGGAGTGTGTGGATTTATTTATTAAATAATAAAACGGAAGTTGATTATATGTTTCATAATTTTGTTGCTATTGTTAGACGTCAATTTTCTCAAGAAATTAAAGTGGTTCGTAGTGATAATGGTACGGAATTCAATTCGTTGAAAGAGTATTTTTTTGACAATGACATTTACTTTGAGACCTCATGTGTGGGCACACCTCAACAAAATGGGCGTGTCGAGAGAAAACATCAACATATTTTAAATGTTGCTAGAGCCCTTAGATTTCAAGCAAATTTGCCTATAAAATTTTGGGGGGAGTGTGTGCAAGCGGCATGTCATTTAATTAATAGAACTCCCTCTAGATTGCTTAATTATATGACTCCTTGTGAAATTTTATTTGGCAAAACACCTTCATATGAGTATATTCGGGTGTTTGGATGCTTGTGCTATGCATATAATTTGAAGAGTAAGGGTGATAAATTTGCAAGTCGTAGTAGGAGGTGTGTGTTTCTCGGATATCCTTTCGGGAAAAAAGGGATGGAAGGTGTACGACTTGGAAACTTGTGAAATTTTTGTGTCAAGAGATGTGACATTTTTTGAGACCGACTTTCCTTTTATTGCCCCTAGTGAGAAGCCCATAAAGGTGAGTGTGAGCGGTGGAGATGTTGGGGATAGTGATGATGAGTGGTGCGTCATGATGGAGGGGGAGTGTGTGAGTGAAGATACGGGGGTGGAGAGGGAGGCAGCAAGCTCCACAACCCACCTGCGGTAGGCAGCTCCAGACCGCAGGGAGGTCGCGGAGGAGACTGCCCACCTCCCTTACCAGCACGTTGCATCATCTGCGGCTGCTAGAGTTGATGGGGGTGCTGGTAGCACGCAGCAGGGGGCTGCTGGGGGTGCTGGCAGCACGCAAACCGAGGGAAAAGGGGGTGATTGCAGCACGCAAATTGAGGTAGAACAGCAGCGTCTAGAAGCTCAAAATGGGCAGTGTGAGATAGATTGTAATGCAACAAGGGACACCGAGGCCTTGGGTAAAGGCAAGAGACAAAAATTTCCGAATGTGAAGCATCGTGACTTTGTGACACACACGATCCGAAATATAAGTCCATCTACATTATCTCAGAGTTCACCTGCGACATCACTTTCCTCAGGTACTGTTTACCCTATAACACATTTTATTGATTCTCACCGATTTTCTGTGAAGCATAGAACATATATTGCTGCCATTAAAGGAGGAAATGAACCCAAAAGTTTCAAGGAGGCTATGAAACACGAGGGTTGGATGAAGGCAATGGCAGATGAGATACATGCACTTGAAGAACAGGGTACTTGGGTACTAGAGAAGCTACCACCGGGTAAAAAGGCACTTGGAAGCAAGTGGGTGTACAAAGAAAAATACGATGAGCATGGGAATTTGCAGAGATTGAAAGCAAGATTAGTCATCTTTGGCAATCATCAGGTTGAAGGATTAGACTACAACGAGACATTTGCTCCGGTGGCAAAAATGGTGACTGTGAGAACCTTTCTTGCAGTAGCTGCAGTGAAAAATTAGGAAGTTCATCAAATGGACGTTCATAATGCATTTCTTCATGGTGATTTGGAAGAAGAGGTATATATGAAAATTCCCCCTGGTTTTGAGAAAGATAATTCTGACAAAGTTTGCAGGATGCAGAAATCGTTGTACGGGCTTAAACAAGCCCCTCGGTGCTGGTTTGCAAAGCTTGCTACAGCTTTGAAAAATTATGGCTTTAAACAGTCATATTATGATTATTCTTTGTTTACTCTGACAAAGGGTAAAATTCAGCTTAATGTGTTGGTATATGTAGATGATTTAATTGTTGCAGGCAACGATAAAAATGCTATGCTCAGTTTTAAATCATATTTGGGAGATTGTTTCAAGATGAAAGACCTTGGAGTGTTGAAATATTTTTTGGGGCTAGAGGTAGCCCGGAATACACAGGGATTTTTTATTTGCCAGAGGAAGTATGCACTAGATATAATTACTGAGGCTGGCTTGCTTGATGCTAAACCTGCAGAGTTCCCTATGGAACAAAATCACAAGTTAGCATTATCCCAGGGAGAGTATTTTCATGACATTGAGAAATATCCTCGCCTCATAGGGCGACTAATTTATCTGTCTGTTACGAGACCCGATTTAGCATATTCTGTACACATTTTGTCACAGTTTATGCAGAAACCCAGGATTGATCATTGGGAAGCAGCTTTGCGAGTTGTTAGATATTTAAAGAAGAGTCCGGGACAGGGTATTTTATTGGGATCTGATAGTGCATTACAGTTAGAAGGTTGGTGTGATTCAGATTGGGCAGGTTGTCCACTCTCCAGACGATCCTTAAGTGGTTGGTTTGTGCTTCTTGGCTTGTCTCCAGTGTCATGGAAAACCAAGAAGCAGCCTACGGTGGCTCTTTCTTCGTCAGAAGCAGAATATCGTTGTATGAATGCAACCACTTGTGAATTAAAGTGGTTGAAGCGCTTACTTGGAGATTTAAGTGTTCGACATGAGAATGGGATGCTCCTTTATTGTGATAGTCAGTCTGCATTATATATTGCGCAGAATCCAGTGTTTCATGAGCGAACAAAACACATTGAGTCGGATTGTCATTTTGTTTGAGATGCAATTACAGATGGGACGATTATACCTTCGTATGTTCCTACGACGGTTCAGTTGGCGGACATTTTTACAAAAGCTTTGGGAAAAGCTAAATTTGAGTTTCTACTTCGCAAGTTGGGTGTCCGAGATCCGTACTCTCCAACTTGAGGGGGGGTATTAGGAAGATAAATATTGTGAATATATTTTGTGATTATCTTTAGGTTATCTTGTCCTTGCCCTCACTACTACATTTTCGATCAAATACAACGCCAAAAAATGAGCTATTGCAACGCCTTATCCAAATGTCGTGGCAATAGATAGCCTATTGCAACGGTATTTTTATTGCCGTTGCAATAGAGTAGGCTATTGCCACGGATATAAAACTAATGCTCTTAGAAGTAGAGCTATTTCCACGGCTCTAACGAACCGTTGCAATAGCCTAGATATTTTAACAAAAATGAAAGCTAATGCAACGGTAGTGTTGTATCATGAAAATTTTAGCTAGGTTGAAGCGCGCATTGTTTCCTCTAATTTTTTCACCAAAATTTTGAACAAACACATTTTTACTTTTCTCACCCATTTTCTCCACTCATTCTCACAGTACCCATTCTCACCCTATTTCTCCATTTCCTCAATTTCCCCAAATTCTCCATTTTCTCAATTTCCCCCAATTCTCTAGTTTCCCCATCATCATCTCACATAAATAAGCAAGGTAAAACAAAAATTCTGAGGCCGATTTTGAGGTGAAAATCACGAAAAAATTCATTTAAAAATTTGATTTTTTTCGATTTCTAGGGTTTCGATTTGTAACTGTTGACGGTGGTGGAGAGCAACGATGGTGAGTTTTGATTTGTAATTGATGGCGGTGGTGGAGAGTTGTTGAGCTAATGTCGCTCAAACTCCAGCTTCGTGCCCTGATCTTTGAGTAAGCCTTCTATCTTTATCTCTCTTTTTTCCTCTTTCTCGCTACTTTCTCTCCCCTTTCAATTATTGTTCCAATTTCGACAATTATACACTTAAAAAGTTTCAATCAATTGACTATTTAATGTTAATCAGGAACATCATCATCGTCCGTGGTAGTTGGTGAGAGTGATTTGCTAATTGTTGGACCTGGTGTTCTTGGTCGCTTGGTAGCTCAACAATGGAGTCAGGTATAATCGCTATTTCTATTGCATTTCTACCTCTCTTTCTTTCGTTTGTAAAACATTTAATTCCTCGAGAACTGTCAGGTTAATTTCTTTCGTTTGGGATTCTCGCCTTTATGTTCTTGCCAGGTTCCTTCTTTTATCTTTAATTTCTGATTTGGTTTGATTATTGGAAAATTGGTTGATTTTTAACTTGCAAATAAGTGTGCTTTTGGTTGTTTTGTTGGTTATGGTAATGCAAATGTTATGGTATAGGTAATGACAATAGATTACTATAGTTGGTGTTATAATGTCTAGTAACTGGTGCTTATTAAACTTCTGTCCTTTTTCCTGAGACTTCTTGTATTATCATCTTCTTACATGTTGGGACAATTGCTACTAATGTCTCCAATCACAATATTTTCTTTGAACTAGAAATAGCTTACATGGGCTGATTGTTATTTCTGTATGATTCTATGATTTTTATTGTCTTCTTGCACTTTCTGATAATGGCCATTGTGACGTGTTGCAATTCTTAGCAGAAATACAAGTGTATATATGTTAGTTTGTACACTCATCACTTGGCACTTGTCTCGTCTCAAATCAGATTTTTTTTATCTGTTTTAATCACAGTAATTATAACAACTGTCTATATGAATTTGAGTTTACTGTTGGTTCAAGTTATTGTCATATTAATGGAAATTTGAGAATGATAATTATATTCATGATTTATGCTGCCGTAATTCACAACTGCAGAGTTTGCATAATTCATTTATTTGTATCAGCTAAATTTTATAGCTGCAATTATATTAGTGTCATAATTAGTATTTTATGGTAATACCTCCTGTCATTTGTGTATATAACATCCTTAGCAATTTTTATTTTACTAAACTAATGGGATCATTACCTATCAATAGCTAATTATATAACTGAAACCGCCCTCCTAATCTTTCATTTTGTCTCCATGTAAACACTGAAAAATAATTTCCATCCATTAGATAAATTTTTTGCGAATGTTACCTCTAGCTTTTTTTTTGTTATTAATGAAATAAAATATGAATTCTCATAAATAGCTTTAAGTTAAAAATTGACATAAATAGCTTTTAGCTCTAGCTGAGGTGGAATTTATTAAGTAGCAATTTTGGTCGAGGATATGACTATATGTCTATATATGAAGTCTGATCGTATAACCGCCCTCCAAGGTGAGAGGCAATATATGGTGGATGGGAGTTGATGGCGCATCAAATAAAGGCTCCTAAGAAAGTGAAATTGAGGGGGTGTTCTGCATCTCAGTCCTTTATAAAAAAAAAATCAAACTTGCTGGATCTTTGACCTTTGTACTGTTTCTTCTAGCTTTCACCCCTCAGTTTCCGATTTCTAATTTTTTTTCTTTGGGAGATTTGGTTTCTAGGTCTTGTATACTATGGTCTTAGTTCATTTTTTTCTCTTTCCTTCCCCTTGTTTGGGGTTTATAACTTGTGAATTATTATGATTAGATGTTCAGATTTTTTTTGTATGGAATTATGAATGTTACACAGATGGTGGACGTATTTGTTGTATTGGGCCGTGCTTCATTTTGGCAAGAGTTTTTGTTCAGTGCAAGAGAATCACAAAAAAGAGCAAATTAGTGAGTTATACAAGATTCTATACAAGGTTTGAGGAACTGCTAGTATACAACTTCTAATGTTGGATATGAGATAGGCCAATGTGCTAGCATGCCTCGTGTTCAAGTAGGTCGTGCTTGAAACAAGTTAAGAAATATTTGTTTGGGGGTGTTATGTCAGTAGATCCTTTTAGTAATTTTTATATACTGTTTGGTAAATTAGATTATTAAAGGAGGTTGACATACCATGTTTGTGCCATGTTCATGTCAACTTTTAAAAATAATATCCATACCCTCCGAACTGTGGTGACTGTGGTAAGGCTTGTGGCGGACTCATACTATGTCAGTCCATTTTACTATCATACTTGATTGACTTTCATGCCAGCCCGGCCCATGCCTACCTCTAATAAGTACCCCTCATTATACAGTGCGAATTAGAGATACCGTATTATATGTTGTTTGGTGTTATAGGATGTGCCTCATTTAAGCGTAGTGATTATGTGGATACGAAATAGAGACAGAAAATCAGTTACCAGTAAAGGTCTGACAGAATGAAAATCAGTTACTCCTTAGAGACATGTCTATATATGAATTAATAATTTTTATATATTATTTTTAAAATTCCACCTCAGCTACTCCATGAAAATATGACACTTTCTTATTCATTTGTAAGTACCCCGAAAGAAATTTAATAAGATATAGATGATGTCATTGACATATATTCACCGGTAACACTGCAAATTTGAATGAATACTGTTTTTTTTTTATTGCATTGCAGGTTTGTTCTATATATGTATATCTCTAACCCCTTGTGAGTTCTTGCTTAGTTTTTACTCTTGATTCCAAACTAAATTTAAAAACCGTTGCTCTTTATGCGTTTTAGGCAGCTACTGCTGCTATTCTTCTTCGGCTTTAACTTTAACCTGTAGCAACATGTGAATAATTATCCTTTATTATTGATCTTGACTTTATTGTTTGTTGTAGCCACTACATCCTCCGGGTATTTTTTTACTTCTTTTTATTTCTCATTGAATTATATATGAGAAAAGAGGAATGATGGATGTTTATCTTCTTTTTTGATTTTGATGAAATTGGATTGTGTTTTTATAAGGTTTTTGGGTTTCTTTGATATATGCAGGTTGTAGGCCTGCTGGCTTCTGTTGTTCTGTGTTGCTAGCTGCTTGCTGGTCTCTGTTTGGTTGCCTGTGGGGCTATTAGGTGCAGGCTGCTGTCGTGTAGGTTCTATTGGGCTGCCTGGTTGTTGTTGTTGTTTTTTCTGCCTGTCTCTGCTGTTTTGAGCTGTTGTAGGGTTGAAGAAGGCATCCTGGTTTGGACTTGCTTTTCCCTGTTTGCTTCTAGTTTGTTGCCTAGTTTCCGTTGCTGTCTTGTTTTGGTTTTGGCTGGTTAATGCTGCTGTTGTTCCTTTTACTGCTGTTGTTCTGCACTGTCAGCTACTGTACTGCTTTCTGCATGGTGTTGTGCATGCCTGGTTTTGGCTGCTGCTGTCGTTCTGCTGAGCTTGTTGATGTTGGGACAACTTGCTGTGTTGCTGGTCTCTATTGCTGTTGTTCACCTGCTAATGTTGGTCGCTTGCCTCTCAAAGATTGTAGTCGTTGTAGTTTTCTCAATTAATTTAATTAGTGAAATTTGATTTTGTAACTTTTCCCTTTAAGGGCAATAATGTACGTATTTCGCATTATAATTATTATATATAAATGATACTTCAATTTGTTTCTGTTAGCATATTTTAATTTGTACTGACTAATTATACATATATTATATTACCATCCCATCCCAACAAAATAAAAATAAAAATATCAATCCGTTGCAGTAGATACGTACTCCTATCATTGTATTAATTAGCTTCCTCCGTTGCAATAGGTTCAATTTCATCATAATTATTAGTCAGTACTCTATTGCCACGGATAAGTTATGCCGTTGCAACAGGTATTGGTCTATTGCCACGGATCATTGGTGCCGTGGCATTAGGTGTCATATGCCGTTGCATTAGACCTATGGCAACGCCAGCAGATGCCACGGTACATGGCCGTTGCATTAGGCCTAATGCCACGGATTTTGATGCCTAATGCAATGGATTTGGGGGTTGCAATAGATCAGAAATGTAGTAGTGCCTCCAAGTATCCTACTCTATATATACTTTTGTATGTGGCCGTTTATATACATGAGAAATACAAAGAATACTTTAAACCTAATATAACACCAACCAAACACATTTAAGAAATTCCTAGAAATTTCATTAAGGAATTAACTTCCTATAAAATATAAATTCCTATGGAAATTAAATTTCGGCACCAACCAAACAACACCTTAGACACTATTTTTATCACATTTGAAATAATGAAAACAAACACTACCTTATGAGATGAAGGGAGTGATATTACTCCGTATTATGTCAGTATGTAGGGAGTTTTTTTTAAAAAAATTACAATATAAATGGAAGAAAAAGTTTTTTTAAAATGATTTTATGAGGTCATCTGGATAAGAATTAAAATGAGTAATTGGCAAAAAATAAATAAATAAAAAATAAAAATACTGTATTTGGTTTTATTAAAAAATTAGACGTGGGACCCACACGGTTGGCAGCATATGATATGCGCACGTGCAGGTTGAATGTCAGTGAAATTGTATACTCACTCGTAAATAATGAATGTAGTCGTCGTTTTTTTGTCGTTTTATAAAACTCATCATATCAGGATATTATTTTTTTTTTTATATTTATATTTTAAATAAAGCTCCCTATGTTGACTGTCTACTGCATCCTACTCTAGTGTAGAATATTCCACTCTTAGCTTTTATTACTGATTCGCTGTCATTCTTTCCCACGGTTAAATTATCCTACTCATACTACCCTACTACCCTCACTTCATTGTCTCACAAAAACCAAAAATAATTGAAAAATATTTGTATACATCCGGTTTTCAGTAATTTACTGTACATCGGGTACACTTTTATCAGATTTAGTGTCACTTTTGTCAAATTTAGTGTCACTTTTGTCAAATTTATTAATAAAGCATAAATAACTCTTAAATATGTCATGGTAACTTTTGTGCATTTTAGTGTAACTTTTGCACATTTTATTGTTACTTTATAACGGATGTTCAGTAATTTACTGTACATCCGTTTTATTTAAAAGTTTGTCAAAATAATTAAGTTGTTTGTAGGGCTGTTCATATTTACTGAACGAAAATGAACTGAAGTGAACTAAACTGAATTGATAGGAGCTGAACTGAACTGAAATTAAGCTGAAGTGAATAGGCCCTACTACGCTCACTTCCTTATCTCACAAAAACAAAAAATAATTAAGTTGTTTGTAGGGCTATTCATATATTACTGAACTAAAATGAACTGATAGGAGCTGAACTGAACTGAAATTAAGCTGAAGTGAATAGGTCCATAATGGGTAAAGATGGCACGGAAAATAATTTTGGTACACTCAATTGATTTGACACACCCATATGTGAGAAAATGACGACACTAAGCTAGTTTAATCTAAGCCACAACACGACATTTCCCAACACAAAAAATTAAGGTATTGTATGTGCGGTATAGGCATCTTATGATGACAGTATGTTAATATGTTATTTACGGGGTAGTATAATAGGTTGGTCTATTTTTATTCGAAAGAAGCACGATAAGATACGAGTCGATACAACAAGACATGCATGCTCAAATCAATAAATTAGGCTAAGGCAGGCATACTAGCACACCATGATTTAACACG